TACGAGTATTTAGCTTTATAATTTTGGTAAGAATCAACAGATCCAGCTAATCTTGGCTCTTTTGAATGATATATAATAGATTTTATATCAAACAAAAATAGCTCAAAATTGTCAGAGAAACGGGGAAAAAGGAGGGGGGCGACTTCCAAACTATTACCAAATAAATACAAGAAAGAAAATCCTTTTATCTAAAAAATATCTATTTAATACCCGCATATTTTTTCAAATTTTCTCATCCAAACTTTCCTCAACAAGTTCGATGCACTAAGGGGAATTTTGTATTAACATTTGATGATGGTGTAGTTTGAAGAATTTTTTGATTAAGTCGATTAATATGTTTAATAACCGACTAAAAATTAGAAAAAAAATAAATTTTTTTTTGAAAAGGGAAGCGGTAGACCTATTAAGGTTGTCAGATACTTGGAAATCTTCGGATATCCGGATCAGGAAATTTTATATTTTTTTAAATTTAAATTTTATATTTTATAAATTTTAAATTTTTTTTATCAGGAAATTTTTTTAATATCCGGAAATTTCCGGATATTCCGCCTTTTTTCAGATCCGGATCAGACAACCTTATTGCCTATATCTAGTTCTGGGGTTAGAATTTATTTTTAAAAATTTATTCAAATAAAAATAAAATTTAATTCCGTTCATCAAAACCGTTCATTAAAAAAACTTATAAATAATCAAAAAAACATTTCCTTAAGAATTTTTCTTTAATTTAATTTAAAAATAAAAATTAAAATTTACATTAACAATTTGTAACTGTCCACAACCAATTTTTTCTCCAACCATTTTTCTTAATTTTTCTAAAATTTCTTTTCTTTCTTCTTTTAAAAAATAATTTTTAGTATTTTTATTTTTAATTTTTCTTTCTTTTAAAATTAAATTTTTTCGAAGAATTTTTGTTGTTGAAAAAGGAAATTTTCGAAATTTTATTATTTTTTTGTTTTTTGGATTTGTTGTTGTTGTTGTTGGTATATTTTGTTGTTGATTTGTAAACATTTTTTTTGAAAATTTTCTGAAAAAAAAAATTTTAAATTTAGTAAAAAGTAGGGCTTTCTTAAAAATTTAACTAAACGTAAAAAAAAAATTTTTTTAAATAAATTTAATCATTATTTATTAAACAAAAATAAAAAAATAAATATATAAAAAATATATAAACGAGAAATAAATAAAGGTATTTGGACTGACAAATGTTGAGAGAATAATGAATGTTTTTGGGGATTAAATGAGAGAGAGGGGAGAGAGGGAGAGAGTAACCACCAACCTTCATCTCTCTTTTTTTATTAAATCCCGCCCAGTTTGCTTATTTTAGCAAAATTCTTTGTCTCCCTCCTCCTCTTGTCCTTTTCTTTTTTGGTATTTGACAATCTTGAAAAGAAATTGGATGAAGAGAACAGCTGCCCTTAAAATAATTTTTTAAAAGGGCTTTTATTTGACCAAAAGCAGAGGTGAGTCGAACAGTCAGAGATGTCTGAAATTGGAAGAGCCGGAAATTGAAACTGGCTCAAAAGTCGGAACTCGGAAATCAAAATTTTTTTTCGGAAATCGGAAGGAAAAAAACGCTGGAAATCGGAAATAAAATTTCTAAATAATAAAATTTAAATATATTGAAATAAAATTTTTATTTTCAACACTGAATTAATATATAAAATTGTTAAGTGTCAAATTATGGTGCATAAAAAGAAGTTCAATCCAAAATCAAGAGCTGGAGATATTATCAGGGGTAAAAAGGGCATCAAGGGATTTGAGCGAATATTAGAGAGATATCGAGAGATTAAGGGGATATAGAGGGCCTTTAGATATTGGAAAATAAAAAACCATAGGGGGAGGAATAAGCTCGATTTTTGGGTGAAAAATTTGTTTTTTTTTTAATGTTAGCTTATTCAAAATAGCTCCTCAAGCTGACACCAAAATCAACATGATCGAACAAGTTCTCGCCGAAATATGGGGATCGAAATGGTCAAAAACCATAGGGGCGATTAAGGTCAAAATTTCGATTATACAAATGTTAGCTCTTTGAAATAGCCAAATTACTTTGCCATTAATCACAAATATAAAAACAAATACAAAAAAATTAGATACTAAAATCTTAAATAATTTCATTAATATTTTTTGATGAATTGCTAAAATTATTTTCTCAAAATTTCCATAGAATTCTTAAAATATTATTAGATATAGATATCAAAAATTCGTACAGAAATAAATTAAGATTAATTATAAATTTTATTTTATTTTAAATACAGAATGAATTAATTTTTGTTTTTTATCACAAAAACGTTTAATGAATAAATATATAAAATAATATAAGGATAAATAAATATTTTTTTACATATCTCAGGTCATGAGAAAATATTTATGCAGATGTGTTGTAATTTTTGCGGTTAGATGAGTGGCATGGGAAATTGGGGGAAATTTTTTAGAAAATACAAGTAAATTAACGTGTTTTTGGGAGTAATTTGCCTCAATTATTCCCTCTATTGCGTGATAAATTAAAGAAATATGAACTGGGAATATTTTTTGTAGAAAAAAATAATATTAATAATGGGAAAAATTTATTAATAACTGCCGGAATTTCGAGAATCTTCAGTTCCGACTGCTTAATCGCTCATCTTTTGAGAAACCATTCGAGCGATCTGGCAATCTTATACTTGTAAATAATATTGAATAAAGTTTATTTTAAGCTTGAGAAAAAATAAAGGATTGGAGTCAATTCAAGTCTATAGTGGATCTGGGCGAGTATTTAACTTTGATTAAAAATATATTCTGCCTGGAAATCTTTAGAGAGGTTGAAAATTTTTTCAACAAAAATTTCCTCAACAAAGATATTTAAAAAACTCGAATTTAATTAACAAACATTAGAACAACTCCACAAAAAAGACTTGCCAACTACAAATATATAAAAATTACTAATTAGTGTTTAATTATAAAATCTAAACAATTAATCTATCCTTTTACAACCAAATAAAATTACAATTCCCCTAAATGTGAAGGTCAAATAAAAAATAATTTTTTGTTTTATCAGCTACTCAAAACTAATTTTAAAAATAAATATTTTATCAGTTGATCATCTCTACCAAATTATATTAAGTGTTTTGAATAATAAAATTTAATAGAGAAATAGCGACTGATTTTGTTTATTATTATTCAAAAAGCGAGATTGTGACTATTTATTAACTAATAGAGGCTATCCCGTCGAGAAATGTAAATGTTTTTAGTGGTGAGGGAGGAGGGAGAGTGTCTTTCCTAATTCTTTTGCAGGTGGAATAAAGTAAAATGGAGAATCACAGTTGGAGCTTGATGAGGAGAAGAGGACAGACCTTGACTTTGAGGGGAAGGGGGTGGGGGAGGGTTGGCATTTTTTAAGAAAAAAGGACGTTTTAGATGAACACCTGCAAAAAAATAAAGAAAAGGCAACAAGTAAAGAAAAATTGAAGAAATATTATTATTATTAGGGTTTAAATGTAAATTATGGATATTTAGATTGGTAAAACTAAACGGATAAAAATTTGGTAAAAAATGAAGGAATTATTTATGGGATATTAAAATTGGAAAATAAATAATTATTAAATTCTTAATATAAATCTAATATTCATAAATTTAAAGTATTACCGAAAATATTTAATACAAAAGTCAAATAAATTCAAATAGGTATCCAACAGGGATGTGCCAGTTTCGCCTTTCATCTTTCGCTTTTTGCCGATTATCGTCTTTTGCTTTTTAAGATCTGTTTCGGCACACTCTTATTTAGTATCCACCAACTTCATTCGTGTAAACAAATAAGATAAAAATTATATAAGTCTATGTAACAGAATATAAATTAGAGGCAGATTTTTAAATGGAAGTTACAAAAATATAATTGGATTTAATGTTTAGTTAGATCAAGATTAGTAGCTTTGCATAACTTTAATGAAAAAACCTTTCTATTATCTAATACCATAAAATTTCTTAGTCTTCTGATCTTCCTACATACATATTTTCCAGGGTAATTAATATTAGAATAATAAAAAATTTTTAAAAGGGATCTTTCTTGAAAAATCTATAAAATTCTACCTTTAATTTATGTAAAGGATCTCATTTCACTTCAAAGTTTCCGCATTATTGCCTTTCACCTTCATTCACATAAATACATAAAATATTATTTTATCTCATCAAAATTATTATTCTTTTTTGAGCATTAAAAGATCCGCGGCTTGTTTTAGAAAAAAAAATATTTTTAATAATAATAATTTATCTTCCACTTAAAAGTAGACCTCCACAAGTCTAGAAAAAACCCCTAGAGGACAATACACTTGAGACCAAATTACTCTGGAGATAAACTTCAAAAAGATCAACGTTATAATTACAAATCTTCGAATCGAAAAAGAGCGTGCTTTCGAGAACAAGATTCCAGAAAATCTAGTGCTGTATCCTGCAAAATTCTGCATTCCGCAACCAGCATAATTAAATAAACTTAAATGTAACACTTAAATGTGGTAGATTTGAATGCTGCAAGTTCCCATTGAATCATCCTCCCCATTAAATAATCATGCATATATTTGAGGAACTGATTTATTTTGATAACAGAAAATGATTTAATTAAGTAAAGTTCAGTGTTTGTAATAGTATTTAGAATTTTTTAAATTAATTTTATAAAAAAATAATTGGAAGAATTTATATTAATTGTGGACTTAATTTACAAAAATTCGTACAAGGTCATCAGTACTTATATATCAATTTATAAAATTAGAGAAAAATAAACTTTGAAAATTCTCAAATAATTTAAATTATTTTTACTTTCTCCCTTAACCATTTTTATTTTTTTTATTTTTTATTTTATAAGAAAAAAATACATCCAAAAATGATTGCGGGAAACAAATACAAGGAGGACAATTGGTAATTTCCGCCCGATTCAATTCTTTTTATTTTTCAATTTGTTGGCTCCTTTGAAAAGTTCATTAGAAGTTACTTACTTTTCTTCTTATATAAAGGGATTATTTGGATATTGTTGGGAGATGACTGCTAAATCTTTTTTTTTTGTTAAACAAGAAAAGTTAGTCTTTCCCGTGGAAATCAAGTGTGCCTTTTTGAAAAAAAGGAATTGGTTAAAAGCTGCTGGGGTTTGGGGCTGTAATAGAAGAAAGAAAAGAGAATGGCAGAAAATAAAGAAAAGTCGTTTTTGGCCAAATGCAATTTGCGCATCATTTTACTTTTTTTGTGTTTGTTTCTCAAAGATTCTCCTTTCTTTTCAGCCTTTATTGGAGGAGGACTACTATGAGAGGTAGAAAGTAAGGAAAGAAAAAAGAGCCGGAAGTCAAATTTTAAGAGAAAATGGGAGTAACAAAAACTTTTATTTATTTATTATTTACACAGATTTTTTATTCTCCAAAAAGCTTTTACTTAAACAAATTTGGTTTCCTCTAGCAAAGTAACAAAAAATAATTTGTTTCAATGATTCTTCCTTAAATGATAAAGTTGAATCCCCTTTTATTTTTAATCTAGAGTCAATTTTAAGGCTTTCTCAATGGGTCTCTATTTTTATGTCCTCGATCTTGTCACAATCTGGATAACGATCGGAATTCCGATTTCCGAGTTCCGACTTTTGAGCCATTTCCGATTTCTGACAGTTCCGATTTCCAGCACCGATCGACCCCTTGCTCTGGGTGAGATAAGACTCCTTTTATGAAGAAATAATCAAAAATGGATTTTTGATCATACATAGTATAGGTAAACCATAAAATTTTTTGCTGTAGTTTATTTAATTGGGTATATCTAGATATTTTTTTTATTATCCTTTACTCAAAATTTTAAATTTGATAGAATAACCCTTTAAAATTTTGTTGTTAATATTTTCAGTTAAAAATTATTATTTTTAGAAAACAAAAATTATTTTATATGTACATTTATTTTGGTTTTAAAAATAAAGCCATCGGCTGGAAATAATTTTGGGATCCTGTCATCTTTAAAACTCATCAAACTCCATTTGGTTTCTTAACTTTATATATTATAGGCCAATTCTCTTCTTTCCTCCTCTTTTCATTTTTTTTCATAAATATATTTACACCAATCTGCCGGTGTTCCTTTTTAAAATCCATCCTTTTAAACCTAAAATCCTATCAACACCTCTCACTTTTTCAATTTTCTTCTTTCTCATATCCCCTTAATACCAATTTCATCCTTTCCTTCCTCTTGAGAGGCAACCACTAACTGATATGCCAATAAGTAAAGAAAATGTAGTAAGTAGACCAGCATCTCCCCCCCTATTCCCTCATTTCTTTTCATGGAAAAGCCAGTGGCACGTTTAGTTTAATTAGATCCATCTTAGAGGATAAGGACCGGGACAAGGGAAAATAAGATGAAAAAGCCAAAGATGACCCCTTTCATCTCATTTCACCGCCTAAACGGGTCTAACCCAAGATGGCGTTTGAATGACAGGCGGAGACTGGCAGAAAAAGAGGGGAAAAGACGGTGTATATCCACCCACTTATTTGCTTTTTTCTGCTAAATTTCAATTTGGTGTCGGCACTCAAGTAAAAAATGTTTTTAGAAATTTTGAATTAAAATCTTTTAAAAATTGAAGGAAACGGCTAATATTTGTTTATTATTTATGAAAAATTTACTCGAAAATTAACTTTATTTTCTCTGGTTTTTAATATTTTTAAAAAATATTTTTGGGTATTCTTACCCATCTAGGTTCTTTAAAATTCAAGGTCCATTCACTTCCTCTCATCTTTCATCAAAAATAAAATTTTAACTCGATTACCTATATCCATTTACAAAATATTATCTCAGTTCCTTTGCCTTTATTCAAAAAATTTCAACGATCTTTGGGCTCAAATCAACCAATCATCCATTTAAAATAATAAACAAATGTTTTTTGGATTATCTAACTTAACCACAATTTCCATTTAAAATATTAAGTTATCTATACCTCCTTATTTATTCTTCTCGTCTGGCAACTGCCTTTTAACTAAAAAAATCCTTCTCTGTCAATCATCAATCATTTTTCTTCGGTTTCTTCCACAAGAAATGTTGAAACCGAAAACCAATCCCCCAAAAACCAACTTAAACTTTGAAACCAAAAATTTAAAAAAAAAAGTTATGACTGAAGGTGAAGGGTCGCCTCAATTTACTCTCTTAAATAGAAAATATTATCTGGCAATAAAAAATTTATAGAGACAGCTGTCCCCACAATCAGGCTAACATCCAATTTTGCGGTTTTGGTTGAATCCTTTACTTCACTTTTTCCTCACTAAATTCATCATTTTTTCTTCTTAAATAATTTAAGAAACATCATCAATTTAAAATTTTAACCAATCATAATGTTAAAAAAACTAACAAAGAAATGTCGGGAAATAACAGAACTAACATTAATCACTCAAAGTGATTGACAAATTACTGACAGATTGACCCATGTTTAAATACATATATTTTTTACATATAATTTTTAAATATGGTAGTATGTATTTAGTAGTCTATTTTTTGATAGATTTTTTAAAAATATTTAAACAATTTTTAGTTTTGAATAAAAAAAATTTGATTTATTTTATTAAATTTTCATCAAAAAATGCCTACAACTTGTGGTAAAAATTATTACTTAGATTATTTTTAAATTAATTATTTTGTAAAAATTAATTAACCATTTCATTTAAATTAAAACCGTTATTTTCTGAAAATAAGTAAGACTCTGAAAATTCCTCTAAATAATTTAGTATTTTATTTAAACTCAAAACGAAAACTATTGGTACACGAATCCACAATAAAAAAACAAAATTAAATTATAACAACTAAATACATATAAACAATTTTATTTTAAGGTTATCCAAACTGTAAATTTCGATCAAGGTGAGGAGCTACAAACATTTTTTTCAAACAATTTCCCTTTGTTTTCCTTTAAATTTGTTTTTATAAAAGATATCGCGGCCAAGAAGACAATCGCCACTTTTACCGTATACCCAAAAGGCCTGCCGTTTTGCGCCAGGCTTGGTTAAATGCCATTGGAAGGAATGAAGAAACAGTCGTTAGCCAGGCAAATAAATACTTAAAATAAAAAACAAAAAATAAATTAAATATATAATTTAAAAATATTAAGAATGAGGAATAATTAATTTTTTAATAAATTTCTTGTTATCAAAGAATTATTATAAAATATTTTTTAGTTAAGAATTTGTTCTGCACACTTTTTTGGAGGAGAAAAACATGAGGGGGATATTCCTGTAGCTGATCCACAAGTAAATTTATTAATAAATATTTAATTAAATTTAAATTTATAGATTGATACACCAAAATTTATTGAATTACCGCCTAAGGAATCGAGAACAGCTGAGAGAAAATCAAGGCTAAAAGGCAGAGAATTAATATTTTATTATTAAAAATAATCATTTTTAATTCCAAATATAATTCATAATTAATTAGGTAATTATTTTTAAATTATTTTTCAGCTCTTTCTTCTGCTCCCCCTTCAACTAATATTATAACCACAATTTCTTCCCCTTCTTTATTAATTAATTCTCAACGTTCTTCATCCTCTACTTCAACTTTAAACCAAAATTCTTCAATTTCGCGTCATTCTAGACGGGGCTATCGAACACATTTTGGATTACCTTTTAATCAAAGAATTATTCGAAAACCTTCATTTAATTCCTCAATTCCACATTTAAATTTTGGAAATTTAAATTCTAGTCTATTTAATAGTGCTAGTGATAATGAAGAAAAAAATTCTTTAAAAAATCATCCCTTTCCTCAATTCAACAATTTATTACCTTCATTTCCCAACAAATTAATGCTATTTAATTCTATTTTTGGAGGTATTTTCATTTCAAAAATTAATTTTTAAAATTAATTTTTTAAAGTAAATAATCAACAACCCCAACAACCTCCCCTCCTTCCACAACCTCCCCAAATTTCTTTATTATCAAATAAAAGTCCAACTACACAAACAAATATTTTAACAAATAATTTACCAACAGAGCAATTACCTCTAAATAATATTCAAAAGCCCCTTGTAGCATTACTTGACGGCCGTGTTCTGTGGAAATGCCTTTATTGAAGGTGTTTTTGAGAATTTTTAGTGAATAAATTAAATTTTTTAAAGGATGTAGCTACTGTAGCTTTTTGTGATGCCCAGTCAATTAATGATATTCATGAGAAGGTGAAAATTAGTGTAACTTAATTTTTAAGAAATTAATTATTAAAAAATAAAAATACTTTTTCTCTTGTAGGAGAGTGAAAAAATATTTTTATTAGTCTATTAAAAGCTTAAAAATACCCTTACCTAATTAATTAATAAAAATAATTAAAAGGTATTAAATGAAGCTACAGTTGCTCTTCTTTACCAGTCTATTAGTTTAGGACGTGAAGAATTTAACAAATTTAAATCATTAAAAGCGGTAATTAGAATTGGTCCAGGCTATAATAATATTGATATTAATGCTGCTACAGAATTGGGTAATTTTAAATAATTTACCTAATTTTGGTTGGAGAGTGAGGGGATATTGAGATGTTTATGTTTGGCACTTTATCATTATCCTTTAAACTAATATATTTATAGGAATAGCTATATGCCATACACCTGTTGAATGTGTAGAAGAAAATGCAGATTCAGCTATTTCATTAATTCTTAATTTATTTCGAAAAATATTTTCTCTTTGTAATTTTCTTCAAAACGGGAAAAAAGTTTTTTTTAATTCATAAAAATTTTTTAAATTTAATTTTAGACAATAAATAGTATTGACCAAATAAGTGAATTAATGAGTGGATCTCAAAGAATTAGAGGAAGTACTTTAGGAATTGTTGGGATGGGAAGTGTGGGAATTGCTGTTGTAAATAATTTAAATAAAAATATTTTTGAATTTTTTCGAGTATTTTTAGGCTCTTCGTGCCAAATCCTTTGGTTTTCGAGTGCTTTTTTATGATAATAATTTGGCTTTGGGTAAATTAATTTTTTAGAATACCTTAAACACTTTAATAAAATAAAAAAAATTCTAAAAAATATTCTAATTAGAACTGCATCCAAATAAAAAATAATAAAGTTTTCTTTATACTAATAAATTATTTTTAAATTATTTTAATTTTCACTTTGGATAATTCTAATATCTTTTAAAAAATAAAAGAATAACTATAAAAATATATGTAACTTTAATAATTATCCTTTTACATAAGAAAATAGTGGCGTAATAGTTGCCCCGAACTAAGATTTTTAAGGATGATTCACCTAAAAACGCTTTGTCGGTGGGGATTAAACTATCTAAAAAGTGAAAAGAGAATGATTATTCGATGTCCAGGTATCTCAGGGGTAGAGCTACTGTATGTGGTGAGCAAAGCGCCTAGCAATACTACGAGGAGGTCGAAGGTAATCCTGCCCGGTGGCTAAACTTTACCTAAACTTTTTCTATTCACATATCTTTTAATTAACAAGAAAAATTTCTATTAATTAAGACTTGTCAATTTTCTGAAAAGATTTTATATCTTAATTTAATCAAACCCTTTTTGCCAATTTTGTTAAATTTTTCTAGGTATGGAAAATGCCCTTGGAATGGAAAGATGTTCTAATTTAACAGAATTATTTAGTCAATCAGATTGTCTAACACTTCATTGCCCTTTAACTTCAGAAAATAAACATTTAATTAATTTAGTATATTAATAATTCTAATATTAAATTAATCTAATTTTTTAAGGAAACAATTAAATTTTTAAAATTTGGAGCTTTTCTTGTAAATACTTCAGAATTTGATTTAATAGAATCTAATTCTTTAATTTCCGCATTAAAAAGTGGGAATATTCGGAGCTTTGCAATCGATTGTGATCAACCTAAAAATATTTTTGAAAGGGAAAATTATGGTAAAAATTAATTATTTAATGAGTAAATTATGATTATTTAAAATTGAGAATGTCTAAAAAATAATGTAAAGTACATACATTTGTAGCTATTTAATTCCTAAGGCTGTGCGTGGTATAATGGCTCAGTCCGGTCTACTAAAGATGCTGGTTCGCATCCAGGCGCCGATTAACCTTTATCTCTAGCTTAAGAGGCGAAATAGCTATGCTATAGTCGAGCTACTTTACTGGTAGCACTGGATGGTTCAGCGAATGCTGAACGTATGACGAACCATCCCATATGCGACCCATTCCATATTTTATATTAAATATTTACAGAGAGTCTGTTTTCAAAATTTCGTTTAATTAACAAATAAGAGACTGTAATAAAGCACAATGAAATTAAAAATACTAATAATGAATGTAATAAAATTATCTGTTTATAATAATATTAATCATATTAAAATATAATTTTATAAAAAGATATTCTTTGTTCAATGCCCAATGTAATATGTACTCCAAAAATTGGTTGGTATTGCCAAGAATCACACAATGAATTAAGGGTTGCTGCGGCACAAGAAGTTAGAAGAGCATTGACTGGCTCTATACCTGAAGATCTTAAAGTAAATTAGCAAAATATGTATAAAATTTAATTAAAAAATATATTTTTTAGAATTGTGTTAACAAATCAGAACTTTTAACTTTAAAAGGAATTTTTAAAATTAATCAAGAATCTTGTAATAATTCATCAACAACCTCTAATACTACATTATTTTCTAAAGAATCTTTTAATAATATTTCACCAATTTTCCCCCCTCTTTTAAATATGCAAGCAGCGTCTTTAAAAAATTGTTTTGGTAATTATTTAATAGAAAATTTGGAAATTATTTTTAGAAGAAAGAAATAATTTTTAGGAGAAATTTTTTTTTAATTTTTAATATAAATATTTATTAATATAAAAATTAAAAAACATTTTGGATATCTAAACATTTTTGGAAAATTATCAATTAAGCAAAAAATACATACCGAGAAATGATTTTTAGAAAATGATTGTCTTTAAACATTTTCCAAAACTTTCTCTTAGAAATCAGAGCTATCTTTAAAAATCGTCTCAAATTCTCAAACTTTTTTTACCCCTTCAAAATTAATTAATTTCTAATTTTAAAGCAAATTCACCAACACCAAATATATTTTCAAATAATTTATTTCAAAAACAATTAAATAATATTCAAACAAAATTATTAAATCCATTGAATAATTTTTCGCCAAATTTTTTATTAATGAATCCAAATTTGTTACAAACAATTATGCAAATGAGAAATTTACAAAAACAAACAAAACTAGGTAAATAATTATTTATTTTCTAATTTATTTTTTATTATTTCCCTTTCATTAAATAGTTCGAAACAATATTACAGTATTTCCTCTAATAGAATTCCCCCCCCATACATTAGAATGCCCCCTTCAATTAGAATGTCTCCCCTTTGGAAGGTGATTGAAAAATAGAATGCCCGGGCATTTTATTAGAAGAAATACGGTAATTATCCTCAAGTAATTATTTTAGTCATTCAAAAAATTAATTTAAAATAAATTTTTTATTCACTAAAAAATAATTTTTCTTTTTCTCAGAAGAAAATTGTGCCGAATCTTCTTCTACATGTAAAACAGAAAATAATGAAAAAGAAGAAATAAATGAAGAAAATTTGCTTACTAATGATAATAATTTAGAAGAAATTAATCAAAATAATAATTTAAATAAAAATTTAGAAATTGAAGAAACAGAAATTGAAGATGAAAAATATAATGAAGAAAATAATTTAAAGAAATAAAAAAAAGAGCAATTTAATTTTTAATAATTAAAATATTTTAATTAAATTTTTATACTTATATAAAATTTTATTTTAAATCCGAAAATTGAAATAAGTATATAAATGGAATAAGAAAATATTTTGTAATAATTTTTTGAGGATTTCTTTAAATTTTAATGTGTTACTAAAGCCTAAGGCTGTGCAGTAGGCGGCGTGATGTAATGGATAACACATCAGTCCGGTCTACTGAAGATGCTGGTTCGCTCCCAGCCGCTGATTAACCTTTTGCACTAGCTAAAGGAGAGAAATAGCTATAGCCCAGCTGCTTTACTTTATTTAAAATTTAAATTATTTTCGGGGTTGTGGCGGAAAAAATTATTTTAGTATTCCTTGTTAAGTATGTAGACTAAATTCAGAAACCACTCATAGATAAGAAAATATTTGTAATGCTTTAAAATCTAATAGTTATATCATCAGGCGCCAGAAATTCTTGTTTAAAGCATCATAACAATCCATAAAAAATCTATCGTATTTTATTAAATAAAAAAACTCCTCTTTATCCCACCAAGTAATCTTCACAATCTATTAAATAGGCACTTTAATATTTATTAATTATTTATTAATATATTTAAGGTAACATCCGTGAGATCAATTTTAGATCGGTTGCTTTTTTGTGAAAAACGATGCCCAGACAATATAGACTGATTTTTAATTTTTATTTTATAAATTATTAAAATATTAATTAAATA